ATTCTTCACAGCCACGTGTGCATGAACAACAAGACCGTCTTTTAGAACTCTGGCTCTGTGGTCACTGATTGTTGCAGATTTTTGAAGATCTTAGGAAGGCAACAGGGAGGATGCAAAGACTGCTGAGTTTAGAGCCAGAGGACCTGGGTTCAAATTCTACCTCTGCCACTTACTATCTGGGTGATCTTGGAAAAGATTAGCCTATTAATTTATTAATTTAATTAACCTCTCTGGTCTGATAGACCAGTGCTAAACTTAGAGTCAAGAGGATGTGAATTCAAATTTTGCCTCAAACATGTATTATCTGTCTGACCCTGTGCAAATTATTTAGCCCCTCAACCTCAGTTTCCTTGTGTGTAAAATAGAGATAATAATAGCACCTACCATATGGAATTATTGTGAGGCTTCCATAAGATAGCATGTGTAAAGTGTTTTGCAAACCTTAAAGTCATTTATATGGTAGATATAATTATTTTCGGTAAAGTGAGAGGGTTGGTCTAGAAAATTTTGACCTCTTAATTCCCATTCAGCTTTAAATCTGATGCTAAAATGAGAGTGTTAGAATCACTTTGGATTCATGCCCGAGGTTGAACATAACTTCTTCAGGCCCAGGAGAAAAGCCATTATGATTTTTTCCCATGGGATCCAGATCAGAGGAATCCCCAAATAAGACACCCAAACTTGAAATTTTTGTCCATGTATGTACACATGTGTGTATATATGGAGTTTCTGTGGCTCCTCACCAGCGGTGAAAGCATTGGAGGGCAGCATCTGATGGACAATTCTCTTTTCATTTAGGTGTTATTTACTCTGGCTCTGTGGCCACTGATTGTTGCAGATTTTTGAAGATCTTAGGAAGGCAACAGGGAGGATGCAAAGACTGCTGAGTTTAGAGCCAGAGGACCTGGGTTCAAATTCTACCTCTGCCACTTACTATCTGGGTGATCTTGGAAAAGATTAGCTCCACTATACAAACATAGATGATAATGGTGAGATGCGTGGTTGGACGGGTCTAACTAGAGTACTGTCCATTCACATCCAAAATCTTGTAGGAGAATTGATGAGACACATAGACCATCACATTGTCTTCCAATGCCCCAAGAATAAACTGCATGTCCGAGACCCAGATTGCCCCAGGCTGCCATTGAAAATACTTAGCAGAATAAGGAGGCCTGTGGCAGATAGGCCTGGAACAGAAGCCACAGATAATCCTAATGCTTGCCTCTTCATCTTCCTTCCTGGGTGCCCCTCAGCTACAAGGCTTGACCCCCTTCTCCTTTCATAGAGAACCAAAGAAAAGTCCAGTTTGTGAGGCAGGAGTGTGAGACAATACAATAATTTAAAGTGGGGGGGGGATTTCCTACAGAATTGTACCCTGAGGCTCTGCTACTTACTACCTGTACAATCTTGGGCAAGTAATTGAACTTTCCTGGGCTTCAGTTTCCTCAACTATAAAATGAGAGGGTTGGACTCAATGATCTTTGAGCTCCTTTCTAGATACATGATCTACAGGAAATAAATCTTCAGCTTTAATTCCTAAGGTTATTCTCAAGAACATGAGGCCCCATCCCTTCAACTGGGCTGTTCTAACACAGAGCTATTGGACGTCTGTAATAGTCTGCAGAGTGATTTAAATGCACTATCCCACTTAAGCCTCACATCAGCTCTGTGAGGGAGCTACCACGGGTATTACTCCCCCTTTTTACTGATGAAGAAAGAGAATCACAGAGATTCAATGACTTTTCATAAGATCATAAATTCAGAGTTGAAAGGGAAAGAAGGCCATTGCTTTAAGCCCCTCATTTTATAGAGGAGGGAATGGGCACAAGGAAGCTAAGTGACTTGCCTTGGGTCTCATGGTTAGTAAGCATCCAGGGAGGGTCTTGAACCCAGGTCTTTTTGACTCCAAGTCTGATGTCCTGTCAACTATACCATTCTACTAGTCAATAGGAGAAGTATTTGATTCCAGCTCCTCCTAACTCTATTCACTACACTATGATAATGAACATGTATATATAAAAGTATATGTATGTATGTGTGTGTATGTGTATATGTGTACATACATGATTTGGAGCTAGAAGACCTGGTTTCAAATCTCAATTCTATTACCCGTGTGTCCTTGGTCAAGTCATTCATCTCTCTGACCCTCAGTTTCCTTCTTTGTGAAATAAGGGGATTAAATTAGATCTCTAAGGGTCTTTCCAGCTAATTCCCATTATCCTCTGACTGCATGAATATATATGCATATATGTACATAAGTCACTTACTATTTGCTGAACTTAAATGTGTAGGGTATAGTTTCATGCATGCAGGTATTTATGTGCACCTAAGTACATTGAATATATATAAACACATAGAATTAGAAAGTTGGAACTCTAGTCCCATCCTTACCCAATGCCTCTCTGCAACATCCCCAACCAGAGAACTCAGCATGTGCTTGAAGCCTCCATTGAAGGAGAAATCCCCAAGGCAGCCCACTCCAAGCTATTTCTGATATTGGTTTTCCACCTCCCTAGTGCATGAATAATATTGTGTCTTATAGTTACTGGTGTTGGTGTCTAATCCTTTCAGTAGACAGTAAGTTACCTGGGGGCAGGAATGGTGGCTTGTCTAGACCTTTTAACTCCCCTAGTATCTCTCACAGTGCTCTGCTCATACTAGGGACTAATGAATGTTTATTACAAAAGCTCCACGGAATGCAAATTTCTTGAGTACAGGGACTGTTGCCCTTTTTGTCTTTGTGGCCCCCATGCCTAGGACATGTTTTTGTCTTGACCTCAGATTTCGACCGTATGGGTGATTCCTGTTGTGGAAACTTTCTCTGTTACCATCTATCTGATCAGCACCTAACTATTTACACATTTTTTTTGTATATGTCTTGTAGGTACCTATTTACACATTGTTTTCTTGTACGTGTCTTGTAGGTACCTAACTATTTATACACTGTTTTCTTGTATGGGTCTTGTAGGTACCTAACTATTTATATTCTGTTTTTTTTTGTATGTGTCTTGTAGATACCTAACTATTTACACATTGTTTTCTTGTACGTGTCTTGTGGGTACCTAACTATTTATACACTGTTTTCTTGTATGTGTCCTGTAGGTGCCTAAATATACATTGTTTCCTTCCATTAGCATTAGTGAGCTTCTTGAAGGCAGGGATTGTTTTTGCCTTTCTTTTTTTATCCCCACTGCTTAGAACCATGCCTGGCACATAGTAAGGACTTAACAAATGCTTGTTCATTGGTTGATGGAAGCAGATCTGTAACTGGCAACTTGCCTTGAACCCGGAGATTGTCTGGGGGCACTGAGAGGCTGTCATTCACCCCTAGTCACACAGCTAGCTTGAGTCAGAGGCAGGATATGAACCCAGGTCTTCTTGACCTTCATGTATTGTGTCATACTGACTCTCTCTTCTGGATCTTAACTCCTCCTTCATCAAATGGGGTGGAGTGAGAGACCTAGATGGTGTCTAAGGTCCATCCAGCCCCAAGTCTATGAGCCTATGACTTTACATAGAGTATATGCTTAACAAACGTTGAATTGGATCAAACTCATTGTTTCACGTTGTTATATGTATGTTTCCCTCCTACTTTTACCAAGTGGTCTCAGTTCCATTTCCTGGAGCCATGGAGTCTAATCTTCTATGCATATATATCTAGGAACATATACTTGCATATATAGTGGTCTATACAAAGGTATATATGTAAAAGCATATTACATATCTATCAACTTTATAAATAATTTTCACTTATCCTATTTGAGGTCAAAATATCCCCCAGTTATCTATTCCATTTTCTAACACATCATCCTTATCTCTTTTTCCTCTTCTCCTCCCTCCTCCCTCAACTTCCAGAACTTTGTTGAAGACAATCCCCACCTCCTCTGGTCTTCTATCATACATGGTGACAGAACCAGGCTGCCTGGGACTTGGGCCATAACCCAGTTAAGGCAATACAATTGGACATGCTGTTACTCTGGGGCTGGAGTGATCTTCCTGTCTGGGTGACAGGCCTAAGGTTGATAAATTCCAGTGAAAGTCCTAGTGGGGGCAGATTTGGAATCTTTATGTCCTCAAACATCAAGACCCAACATCTAAAAAGAATACTGGTTTATATACCTCCCCTCCATGATCAGGGTCCTAGGCAAACCTACCCTGGGGAAGAGAGGTAGAAGCTGGTCATTTACTTTGGGGACACTGCCTGATTCCAGTTATGCAAATCCTGATTCTTTTAGATCTTGGCCATATATAGCATCAGAATGTAAACTCCCTGAGTAATTTTTTTTTTTGGTCTTTGTATTCCTAGTGCCATGCAGTGCCTTGCACATAGTAGGTGCTTAATATAGTCTTGTCAGACTGGGCCAATAATGGATTCTGTGACTTGTGTGCAAGTGTCTTAATACAGTACTTAAAAAATTCATGACTTTTGCTTATGTTGCTGTTGTCAAAGCTAATCCTTCATTTGAATAAGACTTTAAGGTCTTGATTATAGGAGTTAGCACATTCAGGTGTTGGTAAAAATCTGGCTCCATGGTATGAAATGGAGAATTTAAGAAAATAAAATGTACTTGTCAAATTCAGACAGTTTCAGCAACTAAGGGTATAATCAAGACCCATTTAAACAACAATTTAGTTTGGAGATTAGACTATAAACAGAAACAGAATTCATTTAATAAGCTATTTCTTTCACTCTGGATATGGAGTTATGGGAGGAAAATTAGAAGTCAACTAGTTCAATTCCCTTCTAATGGCAAAAAACCCCATTACAATATTCATAGCAAATGAGCCATTTCATTTGAACACTTGTAGCGAAAGGGAACTCACTGCTTCACCAGCTAGTCCATTTCATTTTTGAATAATACCAGTCATCAGGAAGTTCAATCTGAGAAGATTGGGCTGAAAGCTGCCATCTTGTAATTTCTCCCCATTGGTCCTAGTTCCCCGACTAGGGGTGAAGAGTAGCTGCTCCCTTTCCCACATGGTAATCCTTGTAAAAAAAAAAAAGGCCCCAAACCTTCTCTTCCCTAGGTTACACATCCTCAGGTCCTTCAATTGCTTCTCATACAAAATGGTCAGATGTCCCTCATGCTACCCTTACTGGACACACTCCTAGCTACCAATTTCTGTTCTCTTGCTTTCTCTGCTAAAGATGTCACTGAAAAACAGAACTTCACGTATACGGACTTTTCCTCTAGCACAACTTTAAGGGGAAAACTCAACAAACTAGAGAAGAAACAAGTAGGTAAAAATTAAGTTAATTCACAAAATAATAATAATGCTGTTTCAAGCAACAATAGAAAAATAATAAAGGTGCCAGATACAGTGAAAGCCACTTCCCCAGGACTAATTAGGCTTTGGTAGAATGATTAAAGAGCAGAGGATGGCCAGTCCCAATGTCCACCCCTGTCTGCCTCAGAAAGCATGGGCTGTGATGAAAATGTAGATTTTGGCCAGGAAAGTGGTGTAGGTCCCCTGGCGCCAGAGTTTCATTTCAACATCTAGAAGGAAATCTTGTGGCTCCTTGACTGGCCTCTGAATGTAGACGACCCCTGTATAGGGGTTGAGTTTCTGGGCACTAAAGTAATTTTCCTCATTTCCTTTCGTAATGGTCAAGATGATATTGTCACCAGTATAGGCTGGGGAGGGTCCAATGCGGAAGATGTGAGCGGGCACCACAATGTTGGTTTGGAAATTGAGCTGGTAGTACGTGATCCGCACCGGGGTGTTCTGACAATCCAGGAAGTTGAAGCAGCTGGTCCGTTCACATCTCCTACAAATGGAGGAAATGGAGGAAGAGCAGGAAGAGGAGGGTGATGACAGTGCCAATGTTGAGATGAATTCCACCATTCTAAATAAACGATTTAGAGCTGAAAGGGCACCCAGAGGTCATCTAATCTATCCTCCTCCCATTTTGTAGATGAGGAAACTGAGACCTGGAGAGGTTAAACTCTAGAATTGACTCTAGAATCAGTGCAGCACTGTCTCTTTTCTAGAATGCTTTTCCTTTAACCACCTTGGGAGTTAGGTAGGGGTGGTTAGGTGGATAGAATGCAGGGCCTGGGGTCAGGGAGACCTGAGTTCAAATCTGGCCTCAGACACTTGCTTTGTGACCCTGGGCAAGTCATTTAACCCTATTTGCCTCAGTTTCCTCATCAGTAAAATGATCTGGAGAAGGAAATGGCAAACTACTCCAGTGTCTTTGCCAAGAAAACCCCAAATGGCGTCGAGAAGAGTCAGGCATAACTGAATAACAATGAAGCTTTCTCTGCTACCTGGGCAAGTCACTTAACCTCTGTTTGCATCAGCTTCCTCATCTGTAAAATGGGGATAATAACAGCACCTACCTCCTAGGATTATTGTGAGGAGCAAATAAGATAATACTTATAAAGCACTTAGTGCAGTACCTGGCACATAGTAAGTGCTATATAAATATTACCTATTGTTATTATTATTATTATTAGAAGTAGTAGTAGTAGTAGTAGTATATCATTATGCTAATTTTACAGATGAGGAAACCAAAGCTCATAGGGTAAGTGAAAGCTAGTGGGTAGGAGAAGAACTCAAGTACCTTGAGGCCAAATCTAACCCTCTTTCCCTTGAATCTCAGTTCTTCATCACAAAATGGGAATGAGAATAATAGCACTTCCCTCACAGGGCTGTTTTAATGTTCGAATGAGATCATGTAAGTACAACATTTTGCAAACCTTTAAATGCTACATTGATGCCACGTATTGCTATTATCTCACACCACTTCTTCATTTCAAGGGTTATCCCAGAAAGCACAGCTTCCAGGGGAGACATTAGCATTGTGTGGCAATCACTTCTTTCCAAACCTTCCTTACCAACTCCATCTGTCTTCCATTTTCCATGTGCCCCACCATGGTCCTTGTCTGAGAGCCAGCTAACTAACTATCCCTTATGACTTCTGGTCTCATAACAGCCCCTCCAATACCCAAATAGGGCTCATTGTTGTCAGTGGGGAAGGGCTCCAAATAAGGACTGATGAGGCCCCAGGTAGGGAGAAATGTGGACAGAGTTCCATGGCAACTACAGTGAAGAAAAAGTTTGGGTAGTATTATTGGGCATTTTTGCTTCTTTTTTTTGGGGGGGGGGTGAGGCAATCTGGGTTAAGTGACTTGCCCAGGGTCACACAGCTAGTAAGTGTCATGAGGCCAGATTTGAACAGAGGTCCTGCTGACTCCAAGGCCAGAGCTCTATCCACTGTGCCACCTAGTTGCCCCTTACTGGGCACTTCTGAAAGAAAAGAAAGCCATCGACTTTCTTTTTAGAGAGTGAGGCCCTGTCCCATTCCATGGGAAACTCAGCACAAGTGGTCACTTTTTTCAAATTGTCCCATCTGCCCAACATTGTTTAAAGCAATGGCTGGAGAGGAGTGGCCAGCATGATTAAACAGCTTCTGCTTGGATCAGAGGATGGCCTTTGCATTGGAGAGAGAAGGCATGTTTCCAAATCTCCCTGGAGGAGGGCACGGGGACTTACATATCTGAGACTTTTCTGTAGTTCGGTGGGCACTCAAACAGCAGGCACCGGAAGCTCCCCTGGATGTTGTAACAAGTCTCAGCCGCCGAGCAGTTGTGAGTGCCGAGAGTGCACTCATCCAAGTCTGCCAGAAAACACAAAGAGAAGGAGATTGATGGACCATGAGAATTAAGAGCACCTGAGAGCTTAGAGCTATAAATGGCGACCAGGTCCAAACATGAGCAGTGACCAGAAAAAAAAAAAATTACACATGGGTAGACACACAAACACACCACTGTTCTTTGGGGGGATCAAAGAAATCAAAATGTTATTCTGAAATTTCCCCCTACTCCCCTTTTTGACCAGATCTGAGATTTTCATCAGTGTGGGCAGCCCCCTCTACCTATGCAGATTGGTAATTCATCCTTAAAAGCATAGCCTGAGAGAGTTGCCTCACTTGAGCACTTGGAGGGTAAGGAATTTGCCTATTATCACTAGTGTGTGTCAGAGGCCAGCCTCGAACTTAGGTCTTCCTGACTCTATCTACTCTGCCTGTCACGATCCATGCTATCAAACAGAGACTCAGTATTCTTGGCACCAGGAACAGATGGAAGACTCTTTAATATCACCATTAAAGAGAGCTCTTCTTACACGCCAATGTTAAAGGTGGAGAAAAGGATTTAGCAGCAGGATTTTGTGAGTGATTTGCAAGGTGTAGATAGGCCATCAGGCTGTTAGACTGCAATTCAATTTCAGCCGAGTCCCATAAATTTAAACACACACTGGCCACTCTCGGGCCATGCCAACTTTTCCCATTATTCCTAGATCTACTTAGTACAAAGACTTTTGCAAGGCTTCACTGTCCGGTCTAGGACCCAGCCTTCAGCCTGGCATGAGACAGGGATTGTGGATATTAGTCAATATTTACCAGTTGCTTAGTCCATCTATCCATATTTCCAAGGTCTATGCTATTATCCTATAGCATAGGCTTCCAAAGGGTCAGATAGGAGGGGCCAAAGGACACATGTCCATTTTATTGGTTCTGTATGGTGACAGACAGAGTCTTGTCCTCAGATTGGTGCTTATACGAGAGCTGCTGAATTGTGTTTCTCACTTGAGCACCAAAGGGCATTCACATCCATGATGTGACCCAACAAGTCTGTGGGGCAGTAGAGCAAATCCTGCCTCTTCCACTTACTTGCTGTATGACCACAAGCAAGTCATGTGATCTCTCTCAGCCTTTGTTTCCTCATCTGTAAAAGGAGACTATCAAACCCTTGATGTCTTTATAGCCTTCGGGTAGGAGTTTACACTAATACCCAAAAAACCTACTCCCTGGTGCTGTTGGGAGGTGCAAATAATAAAACATGTAGACATGGACTTTACAGACTTTAAAGCACTGGTAAAGTATGTCAGGCATCACTGTTATTATCAACCCCATTTCATAGATGAGGAAACTGAGGCTCAGAAATATGACCTTAGCTAACTACGTCTCCTCACATATCTGAGCTTCAATTTCTTCACCTATAAGCTGGGAATTACAACAACCATAACAACTGGTATTTATATAGCTCTTGGAAATTTGCAAAGTGCTTTAACATACAATATCTCATTTGTTGTAGGAAGGTGTTTGGACAGGAACCAAGACTTGAACCCAATCCTTTGGATGGCCAAGCCTAATCAGGTTTCTTTCCACTTTTACCATGCTTAGCACTGGGGGCCACCCTTGCACGACTTGTACCCAACAAAGCCCTGTCCCCAGGAGCTCAACTCATTCTAGGACAGCTGGGGCCACATGGGCCCTCTGCTCCCCTGGGGGGACACTTGAACCACTCACCTGCTGTGGGTAAATTCCATTATCATCCTCAGCAAGTAGAAAGTTCTGGGATCTGACCCCAAATGGCTAATTCTGACCCCCTCCCCTCCTACTTCAGAGCAAGAATAGCAGGAGGAAATTAGTTCTTGGAAAGAAAGAGCTCATTTCTCTGGAAATGCCATTAGTAACATAAAGGGAAGGTTGAAAAGGAGATGAGGGCATGGATAGGGCAGTGCCCAACTCGACACATGGCTGCCTTGGCTTTTCTCTGAAGTTTTACAAAGCCCCACAGGGAGCGTCCATCTCTATGACGGAAAAGGATGCTGCCAACAGCGATGAGCTAATAGGCCCAGTTCACCAGCATTCCTGACAGGCTTCCTCTGCATCAACCATGAAGTCAAGAAGATCAAAAGCAACAGCTTAAGTGGGACTGAAAGGAATGCACCTTGATACTCCCTGGCAGAGGAAGTGGGAGTGGAGCGGGTGATGGCAGCCGTAGCAAGATGAGAAAATTAGGACTAGGATTGTCTCTCCCTTCTCAGGTTTGTGGAATTTTAAGTTGGAAGGAGACTTGGAGATCACCTCCTCATTTTGGAGGAAACTGGTGTTGAGAGGTTTAATTACTTGCCCTGCCCCCCCCCCAAACACAAGTCCTTCCTCTATTCCTTCAGGGGATTGGT